TTTTCTTTATCTATAAAATTATGATTTCTTACCTTTTTTTGATTGACGTTTACATAACTTACATTTATACTTGTCCAATACATCGTTAGTTATTCTTTTTGCTGGTCGGAATAGGGGATTTTCTTCATCGTCTGAGTTTATTTCTCCTTTGTAGATACACTGTCTGTGAAATTTTATATAACAGTCTTCGCATGTAATGCTTTTTTATCTGATACTATAAATTCACAGTATGCACAATATTGTGATCGGTTTTCTTTATTAATTAATAATTCGTTTGCAACAAGTTTTCTAAATTCAATTGGGTTAAAATTTTCATCCATTTCTATCCCATTTGCATACTTATCCAAGCAGTACTTTAAGAACACTCCGCAACTATCTTCATCATCTTCAGGTTGATATGGTCGCTTTTTCGTATATTTTTCATTTTTCTAATTAATTTTTTTCAATTCCTTAAATGTAGAATTCACATCGCATACTTCAATAAATTCATGAAATACTTTAGTTACTTACCATTAATTAATTTAATGGATTAAAAGTAATTATTCCTCGTAAGTAACTTGAAGTACAATTTATATACTGTCTAATGACCAAAGTTGAAAGTTGCTTCACTACATCTTTTTTGTGAAGTGGACAATTTACACGCTCCATACGTACTTCTTTTCCTGTTAAGGAAACTGCTTTTGTTGTAATTCCGACAGTTGCGTTTATGTTTAAAATATTTTTTCTCAAAATACATCTAATGTCATTCAATAATTCTTTAAAATTATTGGATGAAATAGATGAATAATGGATTTTTGAACATTCTAAACAATTTTGCAAAGTCGGATTTTTTTTTCTTAACAGTTTAATGCCAAAATTAATGTCACCAATCACTCTCCCTTTTTCTGGAATGGCATCTTTGTTATTTTGTCCAGTGGGTGATAATTGATGGAGAAACCCCTTACGGACGGCTGGTTCCGTATTGTCACTTTTGGAAATATATGTGTCCCATGGAATGAAAAACTTTCCTTCATCATCTTGACAATTTGCATCATTAATATGATAATTGGATACATTATTAATACTAATTGACTTAAAAATTCCAATGAATTGAAAACAAGTAGGTTTTCTATCAGCACTACATCCTCTTACAAGGGAGAAGAAATTTTCAAGGCAATCTTGATTAATAAATTTTGTTTTCAAACTCTTCAAATCATACTCTTAATTTTCTCCATAAAATTAAAAATTTATTAATGGTTTTTTTAAATTTATTAAACATGGTGGTTGTGGTGTTATAGGATTTTCAGTTTCTTTGTTCACAAATCTAAGTCCATTGATGAAGGAAATTGAATCATTAAAAAATTGAGAATGATAACTTGTATCAGTTAGAAGAGTTCGAAAAGGATTGCAAGGATCTTCCTTAGTTTTTCCATTAAATGCATCACAAATTTTGTTAAAAAATGAGAGTATATATGCCTTATTTTCTCCGTCAGCAGGAATCGCTTTCAAACCGATGTCAGTAGATCGTGAAGGACGACCAGCCAATTTACAGATGTAATTCGCCAATGTTCTGTTCTAATGGACCCTCAATCCTCGAACCTAACAATTTTGTCACTGTTTTTATCATAATGTCATCCTAAACCTAGTAATACATCATCCCACATAACAATAACTGCCTTATCCTTATCGGCGTTACAAAATTTGACCGATTTTGTCCAACGGTCTTTCATTTCCTTTGTGACACCTGTGTCCATAGGAATTTTCATCAACATTTTTTTCAAAATCGATGGACAAGGTAAAGACAAAAACTTTCTCAAAAATTTGTAGCACTTTGGAGATTGCTTATAGATAGAAAGTGAAAGAATTTTTTCTTCACCTGAAAATCTTCTTCCATTTTATTTTTTAATTGCATTCTTAAGCAACATCTCCAAAAATTGTTGCTGCAATAGTGACATTTTGTAAAAAGCTTTTTGGTACATTGAAGTTTTGTTGCTTTTCAATTTACGTTTTAAAGACTTTTGCAACCTGATATGAAAATTAAAAAAAAGTTTCATTAAAAAAAATATAAAATAAAGTTTTCTTTTCTTAGTTACAAAAAGTTCTAAATGTTAAAAAATAATAATAATAACATTAAAATTATTTTATTATTAAAACAATAATAATTAAAATATTAAATATGAAACAATTTGTGTTATTTATTTTATTGTTTATTATTAATTATTAAAAATTAATTAATTGATAACATAAAATCGAACTAATAAAACGAACATACGTTAAAGAAGCGAATAAGGCTATCAATGACCATTTGACACTTCTATAAGAGAACAATATTTAAATTGTTTACAAATTCGCAAAATCAAAACATCGAACCATAATTCATTTGAAAAGCTATAATTTATAATTTTGTCGAAAATCATAACAGAAACGAAAATTCATTAAAACTTGACGCTATAAGAAATTTAGATTTACCCAAAATAAAACATTTTTTTCCTACAATATTTTTGAATAGACACTACATAAAAGTTATGAATGTTTTGAGTTTCAAAAAATTTTCAATTTTGAAAAAAAGTTATTTTCTTATATTTATCTCATAATTGTAATTTTTCAAAAATTATAATTATTTATCTATAATTGATAAATAAAACAATAAAATTAATCAATATTATTTTATTTTATGAATCTACATTTAAAAAGCACCTTATAAAATAAAAATGAAATAAAATTTTTTAAAAATTATTTGAATAATTGTTTTGTTTGAAAAATGTCATAAAGCGCTATAAATGTATTTTCACTAGTTCTTTAAACATTTCAAATATGGCAACCAGGCCTGGCCCTGGTGGGTCCGATAGAAATTTACTAACCCGGGGCCAGATCGGTAATCGGGATGACAAGTGGCAATTTCTATACGGGTATATATGAGCAATCACACATGAAAGGATCCCTTACCCATTCATTAAAAATAAATAATTACTATATTATATAATTATGTATTAATTATATTATAATTTAATATATAATATTATTATAATTATATATAATAATTAATTATATACATACATTTATGTTATCGTTGTTTGAAATTCAAAAATTCATTTCAATGCTTTTTAGACATTTTGAATTTATTTCAAAAGTTGAGAAGTCCCGCTTCTGGGGACTACCTAAATGCCATCTACCACCAACAATTCAACTAAGTCATATCAAGCCTATTTCAGGCTGTAAGTTAACCGGGCCTGGTTCGGGTCACGTGTTCATAAGCCACGCACTTTTGGTACCTTGCCACCTTCAAATGCTCTCTAATTGGAGCATTAATTCATTTAATGTGGATTTTGTCTAACTTAAGCAAGGTATCACAATCCGCGTCAGGAAGGCGGATTAAAACAGCCATTACTCCACCAAAGCGTGGTAAAATTCGACACTCCATAGCCAGGTTAGTCTTTCGCAACTTGACCCTCAAGACTGAAACTACATCCTCCTCGGTCGTGCTTTTTTTGTTTACCAAAGCCCTAACCTCGGCTTTGTCAGATAGAGCCGAGGTAAATGCTTGGGCGAACTTGGAGGTATCTCCTCCTTTTTTAACCACAACGAGGACTTCTTTATTAAGGGTCTTCTTTACTTTTAAAACCTCGGTACCAGTTTCTTCTGATTCAACTGAGGTTTTCATGAGCTTCAGGATTTCGAATCTTTATCTTTCGCCCGAAATCCTGACTGCCTCCGTGTTTCTGGGCCTTGAAGGGCGCTTCGGAGCCTCTGCTCGTTTTTGGGCCTTCTTCTTCCAAGCCCTCTTCTTTTTATTAAAGGCAAGCTCAAAACCATCACCGTCCTTTTTGTCACTTTCCTTATCACCGGCCTCTTCAGCAAGCAAAACCACGTTTTGCTGCACCTGTGAGATGAGAGTATTGTCAGGAGCATCCTTGCTCTTGACCCTTTTCTCTTTAGGCGTCATCGGCTGCTGCCTTGCGTCCGGGGTTCCGCTCTCTCTATGGCGCTTTTTAGCTTCACTGAAAGGATGCTGAAGGTTTACAGACTTCAATGTCAACAAAGATGTTTTGACGTTTCTTTTGGGCGGCTAAAAGGTTAGTTAATTAATCGCAGGTTACTACGAATTATTTCGGACGCTTTCTCCAGAGCCGTCATACCGTCTTGAACATCCTTGCTGATATTCTTCTGCCGTTTGCGCGCCTGGCGCATGCAATACCTTCGGTATTGTTTGCAGCTGCTCAGCAACATTCAACTCAAAATTCCTGGTTTCACTTTCCCTGAACCTTGATGCTTTACTTACTGCAGTACCCAAGGAGTCCAATCCTACAGTCTTGTTGTTGCATGATACCGACGCTTGGGAGCCAACAAGCCCACCTCCGACTGCGCCGTTGATGAGGAATCCGACCACCTCAACGACCATATTTTCTATGGTTTCCATATTCATAATTTTTCCATTTTGGTTTATTTGGTCAGGGAATCACCCTGGTTATTGATTGTCCTTTAGTGAAAAGCCCCACGACCACGACAAGGTCTACTAAGAATATCCACGATTCATGGTAGGGGACGACAACCATCGGCAGTGAAATATCATGTTAATTAAATAGTAGTTTAAATATTTTTCATTTTATTAAAGGGTGTCGTTCACTGTTTTCATACCATACATTTTTAAATAATTATTTTAAACTCTTATCAAAGTATTTTTTAATTTTAAACTTATATACTACAAATTTTAACCTAAATCTTCTATTTGAAATTTTTTTATTAATAAATCTTTAATAAATTCTAAAGTATGCACAGGGTGTCGGTCACTGTACCCGTTACCCTATCTGTGTTTTGAAAAAAAATTTAAACCACTTTAGAAATTTTGAGCCTAATGTAAATTCAATGTTTACATTTTTTTAAATTCCTCTATAATTAATCAAACCTAATTTAAATTCAAAATGCATTATAATTGTACAACTATCTTATAATCTCTCTAACAAAAGGCTCTTAGCTCGTATTATTTTATTAAATTAATTAAAACCTTAAAACATTATTTTCAGGAACAATGCTCAGTAGTTGGACTAAACATACACTTCACTGCTGCCTTTTAATAACAGTAATTTTAGTATTTGAATACGTATCAGGAGGATTAAGATGGAATGCTACTGAAAAAGATGAATTAAATCCATGGATTGAATATGGATATTTTGGAGCGGCAACACTTTATTTCCTTCGAATATTAACATTTCTTTCGCTTCCACAAGTACTTTTTAATTTTATCGGTCTTTCCATTTATAATGCTTTTCCCGATAAAGTTGAACTTAAAGGCTCACCATTACTTGCGCCATTTATATGCATAAGAGTTGTAACACGTGGTGATTATCCACAATTAGTAAAGACAAATGTCAATAGAAATATGAATAAATGCATTGAAGCGGGTCTTGAAAATTTTCAAATTGAAGTTGTAAGCGATAAACCAATTGGCTTAGTTGCACATAGAAGAATTCGTGAAATAGTTGTGCCTTTAAATTATTGTACTTCAAGTGGAGCACTTTTTAAGGCACGCGCATTACAATATTGTTTGGAAAATAATGTCAATGAATTAGCTGAAAATGATTGGATTGTTCATTTAGATGAGGAAACACTTTTGACGGAGAATTCCATTAGAGGAATTCTTAATTTTGTTTTAGATGGAAAACATCAATTTGGTCAAGGTTTAATAACATATGCAAATGAAAATGTTGTTAATTGGATTACAACATTGGCAGATAGTTTTCGTGTTGCTGACGATATGGGAAAATTAAGATTACAATTCACTTTATTCCATAAACCTTTGTTCAGTATGAAAGGATCGTATGTTGTTACTCAAGTGAGTATTTTTCAATTACGTTTCTTTTAAAGTTAAATTTTTTGAAACAAGTGAATTTCTTTTTTTCTAAATATATTTTTGTATTAGAAATGTTAATTAATTCTTGGCAAAATTGTATATTTTTTGCATTAAAAAAATATTTTACCATTAAAATTCAAGTAGTTTTGGAAAAAAATTAAATTTAACAATTTGAGATTAAAAACAATTGTTTTATATAAATCTAATTGAATTTTATCATTTATAAAGGAGAATCAGTGAAACAGTCGAAACAAAAGTTAGTCTATTATTTTAGAATATTTAAATATAAAAATCATTAAAACTTTAAAAGTAATTCAATGCAAGTATAAAAACTTTAATTTTTAACATTTTAAGCACTTTTGCAATTCATTTTTCTCTGTCCTACTAACAGTTAAAAAATAATATTATTTATGAAATTTTTTCGATTTTTTCTTAATAATTTAAATATTTAGTCTCAAAAATTTAATTTTCATTTAGCAAAATATTCACTTAACAGAATTTGGATTTAACTGAATTCACATTGAACAGAATTTTTACTTAAAAGAACTTTTATTTAACTGAATTTTTATTTTAAAAAATTCCAATTTAATCAAATTTTCATTTAACAGAATTCTTATTTTTTTCTTTTTATTAAACTTTATTTGATAGATTTTTTTTGTACGAATTGTCATTTGATAGAAATTTTGAAAACACTGAATTTTCATTTGATCGAAATTACAAATGGCCGAACAAATGTCCGATAGAAAAGTTTTGTCAAGAATTTTAAAATTAATCAATTACAATTTTCTTTATTATTTCTGATTGATTAATTTTAAAATTTGTGCCAAAACTTTTCTGTCTGATATTTGTTCGGACATTTTCAATTTCGGTCAAATGAAAATTGGATGATTTTATAATTCTCTCAAATGTCAATTCGTACAAATGAAACTTCCGACAAATAAAGTTTCTATGTTATGGAAATTCTGATATTTAAAAATTTGACTAAGTAGAAATTATATTAATAGAAAATTCTGCTAAATAATAATTTCCAGTCAAAATTAAAAATTTTTTCCCTAACCTTGATGAAAATATTTCATGAGGTTTTCAATAACAGGCCTCGGATTGCACGACTTATTCGACTTTTTTTATTATTCGAAATTTATATGATTTAAAACAGTTTTCAATTGAAAATTCAATTATAATCTAAAGTTTTTAAAAAAAAATTTCACCAATTCAAAATGAAAGTTTCAATTAATAATCTCCTGAAATTCAATTATTATTTTTAAAAACTTTAACTCGAAATCATCTAAAATACAATTATTTCTTAATGGATCTAAAATTCTTTTTTAAATAATTTAATTTTAATAATTTTAATCAAGATTTTCGAAAATTCAATTATTAAAAGCATTTTCCAATTCAAAATTCTCTAAAATTTAATTATTATTTAAAGCATATAAAATATTTACAGAAATTCCAATTTACGAAAATTTTCATTAAGAGCATTTGAACCTTCGTGACGTCACAAATCATGGCGCATGACACGCAAACTTCTCAGGTATGTGAAAAGCACAATTTTGAATATTTTTTAAAAAAACCTTTTGGAAAATGTTCAGAATAACATAGACTCTGTCTGTTATGTGCGGAAAATTCAAAATTTTGCGTTTAAAACGTTTTTTAAACAATGTTAAGGTCACAAATCATGGCGCATGACACGCAAACTTCTCAGGTATGTGAAAAACCCAATTTTGAATATTTTTTAAAAAAACCTTTTGGAAAATGTTCAGAGAAACATAGACTATGTCTGTTATGTGCGAAAAATTCAAAATTTTGCGTATAAAACGTTTTTTAAACAATGTTTAAGTTGGTTGTCACAAGTAAGGAAAAATACACGAATTGCTTATATGTAGGCATTGTTTAAAAAACCTTTTAAACGCAAAATTTTGAATTTTTCGCACATAACAGACACAGTCTGTGTTATTCTGAATATTTTTCAAAAGGTTTTTTTAAAAAATATTCAAAATTGTGCTTTTCACATACCTGAGAAGTTTGCGTGTCATGCGCCATAATTTGTGACCTTAACATTGTTTAAAAAACGTTTTAAACGCAAAATTTTGAATTTTCCGCACATAACAGACAGAGTCTATGTTATTCTGAACATTTTCCAAAAGGTTTTTTTAAAAAATATTCAAAATTGTGCTATTCACATATCTGAGAAGTTTGCGTGTCATGCGCCATGATTTGTGACGTCACGAAGGTTCAAATGCTCTTAAAAATATCCTGAAATTCAATTAGTTCCAAAAATTTTATTTAAATTTCTTCGCTAAATTGATATTTTTAATTTCTTTTATACAGTTTTTTAACAATTCAGGAAAATTAAAAGATTTTTAATTAAAAATACTCTAAAATTCTATTATTCTTTAAAGTTAGTAAAAAAAATTTTATCAATTAAAATTTATGAAAGTTTGAATTAAAAATCTTCTGAAATTTAATGACTTCCAAAAAAAATTTTAACTCGAACTCTTTCAAATTAAATTAGTAATTGAATAATTAATTGAATGTTAATTTAATTGAAAATATTTTTCCCAAATTTTTATCATAATTCTTTATTTAATTAATTATTAATTAATTATTAATTTAATTCAATTACTTAAATCGTTTTTTAATTAATGTTTATATTTACAACAAAATTATAATTTTTGAAATCTCAGAAAATGAAATTAATTCTAAGAATTTTAAGTGTAACTTCATCAAAATTCAATTATTTAAAACATATTTTAGTTGAAATTTCTCTAAAATTGAATTATTGTCTGAAATTTGCAAAAAAAAATTCATTAATTCAAATTTACAAAAGTTTCAATTGAAAATCTTCTGAAATTAAATTATTTTTATAAAACTTAAATCAAACTCTTTCAAATTCAATTTTTTTTTAAATTTTAATTCAAAATCTTCTAAAATTTAATTATTTCACAAATTTTTATTTAAAATTAAATTAATTTTGTTTTTAATAATATTTTAATGAAATTCTTTAAAAATTTAATTATTTCAAACATTTTTCAAAATTCTGAATTCGAATTGGAAATTTTCTTTTTTTTTAATGTTTTAAATTATTTTTGAAAATTTGTTCTGAAACTGAATTGAAATCTTGAAAAATTTGTCTCAGTTTAATTTGGTGGTTTAAAACGAAAAATTGTTGAAAATATTTCTGTGAAAAATTCTGATTAAGGAATTAATAAATTTTTATTTAATTTTTAAAAACAAATTGTTAATAATAACAAAATATTTATCAACTAATTAAATTTATTGAAAATAAAAAAATGAACTTTTTAGACTTTTCTTGTAATGTAAATCGACTAAAATGATTATTTTTTCTTTTAAAAGTCGATCCGAGATCTACAATTATAAAAATGTGAGACAATAATTTTTAGAAGCAAAAGTTTTAATTGAATATTTCAAAAATTATAATTTTAGTAGTATTTTTAGAAATTTGATATTTTTTCAGTTCTTTTACTATCTTTTTTTTAAATTCCCTGATTTCCCTAACCAATCTCACTTTTCCTGACTTTTCCATGATTTCCCTGACCCGCGGCAACCCTGATAATAATATTTTTTATCTGTTAGAACAGAAAAAAATGTATTTCAAAAATACATGGCTTTTGATGACATTAAATTTTTTAAAAAAACCGCAACTTTCATAATGTTTATCAAACGAAAAAATAAAAAAATACGTATTTTCTTATTTTTCATAAAAATTTCGAAAAAAAATGTTCCAATTAAAAAAGAAATTGTACGCCCCATTTATTAAATAATAAATTTTTACAATTTTACAGATGTCTGCTGAAAAGCAAGTGTCATTTGACAATGGATTAAATGGTTCGATATCTGAGGATTGTTTTTTTGCAATGAAGGCATTTACTCAGGGTTATACATTTAATTTCATTGAAGGTGAAATGTGGGAAAAATCACCATTCACATTATGGGATTTTGTTCAACAAAGAAAAAGATGGTTACAAGGAATATTATTAGTTGTTCATTCAGAGGCAATTCCATTAAAAAAAAAATTACTATTGGGTATCTCTTGTTATTCATGGGTGACAATGCCACTATCAACATCAAATCTTGTCCTCGCTGGTATTTGTCCAATTTCATGTTCACCAATAATAGACTTTTTATGCGCATTCATTGGTGCCGTTAATATTTATATGTACATTTTTGGTGTTGTAAAATCATTTTCATTGTATCGATTTGGCTTTGCTAGATTTCTTCTTTGTATTTGTGGTGCACTTTCAACAATACCATTTAATCTTATTATTGAAAATGTCGCCGTTATTTGGGGTCTTATTGGTAAAAAACATAAATTTTATGTTGTCAAAAAAGAATTTATGGTATGATGTATCAATTTGACATTTAAATTCATGTACAAAATATTAAGTCATTTTTTTTTGTTTACAAAAAAAAAGGTCCATAAAAGCTTTTTTTCTCTATATATTGTATGTTATGTGTGTACAAAAAAAATAATTTTTATTATAAAAGCATTTATGGACTTTTGGGTAATAAAACAAAAAAATTTTCAATTTCCCAATTGTGTAAAAAAAAAATTGAATTTGCAAACGTAAGTTACATATTTTTATGTATATGTGACTTGAAAATGAAAAGCAAAAAAAAAAAAAAAATTCATTTACGCTACAATCTACCAAATGCAAATTATTGTTTTTCTTTCGTTAAGTTTTGAAATATCGAAACTGATCTCATCATGATGATTAATCAAAACGCCACTTAAAAAAAAAATTTCGATATTTCTAGTCTTAGGTAGAATTATTTAATTAAAACGATTTTGTCTAAAACTCGTTCTATTAAAAAAAAAAAAAGAAAAATTCGATCCGACTTTTCGTTGACAAAAAATTGTTTTTACATCAAGTTTTCACAAAAACTGTTATTTCTTTCTATTTTAAATCTGCATGTAAATTAATTTCCAAAGGGCAAATAAAATTAAAATTTATATTTTAAAAAATTTTCAATTACATTTTAAAATAATTTTATTACTCAAATTTTTAAATTTTTAAAAAAATTTTTTGTTTTACAATTTTTCTTTAAATAACTTTTTTTTCTATCGGATCGGATTCTAATTCGATTTAAATCTATTTTGTAAATGTCAAAAAGAAAAAAAAAACTCGACTAAATCAAATTGATTTGAACTTCCAAGGTAAAATTTTAAGTAATAATTAATATTTATATTAGACATTAAATAAGTGTATAAAAAATAGAATATTTTTTAAATATTTTAAACATTAGTTATTAATAGTTTGGTATAAGAGTTGCCAAAATGTCACAAAACTTTAATCGAATTTTTAAAAATTGAAAATGTTCAATTCGAGTGAAGACTTCAAATATTCGACTTTCAAATGTTTTGGAAAGTTGATTTTTAATTTACACACACGCTTAGCTTATTTTCAAGCAAAACAATATTACGTTCCTTAATATAAACAATTATAATAGTGCTTTATAAAAAGTATAAATTATAAAATTTACAAATATGTATATAAAAATAATATAAATATAATTTTTATTATCTAAGTTTTTGTCCGGAGATTTTTAATTTGAAAATTTGCAATTTTTGCAAATTTCAATGTATGTAATTTAAATAATATACACAGTATTACATGAAGAAAGAGCTTTAGATTATTTTTTTTTGTGCATTAAGGAAAGAAAATCGAAAAGTCTTTAAAGACATTTAGAAAGGAAAAATTATAAAATTTTTGACAATTTGAAATTTATAAATTGAATTCGAATTTCATTATTGAAAATAAAGTCCTTATTGCACAAATAAAAATATTTTTTTAAGTTACGTATGAAAGTGTCTTTTTTTTATAAAGTCGTCAAAAAATACCAAAATGTGAACTTTGCAAAAAAAAAAAAAAAAAAAAACAATGTCAAATTTCAAATACAATACTAAAGTCTTTTGTTTATATTTAAGTTTCAACTGAAATCACTTTAGAAAAAATGAAAAAACATTTTTAATTGACAAGTCATATTTGTGATATATTACCAATAAAAGAAAAAACTTACAACAGTATTTTTTCCAGTGAAATTATTTATTTCATCATTCTTCTTGCTTTCCAATGGAAAACTAAAAAAAGTTTATTTTTCTGTCTTTTTGCAACAAATTTGAATATTGCATTTTCTTTTTAATTTTGTCAATTTTTCTACAACAAATTAACGTTTGTTTTTTTTTTAAGGTGCAAAAATTTGCCATCAAAATCATTAACAAAAAATTTTTTCATTTCATTATGTAAAATATAACAACGAAAGTAAGTATCTAAAAAAATTTGAATTATGAACTAAAAAAGTGATTTTTGTCAAAAACCGAAATGACTGATTTTTGAAAAAAAGAATTTTTATTTAGTCGAACTTTTAAACAATATAAGTACATAACAGAATTTTCATTTTGCAAAATTTTCATAATACAATGTTTTAATTAAGTGCGTTTTTTAATCTAATTTTTATTTAGCAAAATATTCACTTAACTGAATTCACATGTAATAAAATTTCTATTTGACAAAACTTTTATTTAGGCAAATTTTCAATAATGAGATTTTTTATTTCAACGAATTATTATTTAGAATTTTCTTTTACATAATAGAATTTCTACATAGACAAATTTTTAAATAGCAAAATTTTCATATCATCGAAACTTTAATTGTCGGAAGTTTCATTTGTACGAATTGTCATTATTGGGAGAATTATAAAATCATCCACTTTTCATTTGACCGAAATTGCAAATGTCCGAACAAATATACCGACAGAAAAGTTTTATCGCGAATTTTAAAATTAATCAATCAGAAATAATCAAGAAAATTGTAATTGATTAATTTTTCAAATTCCCGCCAAAACTTTTTTGTCCAACATTTATTCGGTCATTTACAATTTCGGTCAAATAAAAATTCGATGTTTTCAAAATTTCTATCGAATATGACAATTCGTACAGAAAAAAAACCTGGCAAATGAAGTTTCGGTGAAAACAAAAATTCTGGAATTTAAAAATTCGACTGAATGAAAATTCTGTTAAATGGAAATTTGATTAAATTGAAATTTTTTTTAAAATGAAAATTCAGTTTAATAAAAGTTGTATTAAATCAAAATTATGTTGAGTGAATATTGTACTAAATGAAAATTAGATTTTTCAAATTAAATATTTAAATTATTAATGAAAAATCGAACAAATTTCATATATAATATTTTTTAAGAACAATCAGTAGGACAAAGAAAAATACATTTCACTCTATTCAAAAAATTCTAATTTAACCAAATAATAATTTAGCAGAATTTTTATTCAACAAAAATTTAAATTAGCAAAATTTTCAATTACCAAAATTTTCAATCCCCTAAATATAGAAATAATTAAATTTTATTATTTTATAAAATTTACTTAATTCAAATAAATGAACAGTGCAAAATACTATTTGATAGTAAAAAAAAAAAAACTTTTAAAATTGATAAATCGATAAAATTAATAGTAGGTAATTAAATAATTGAAGCTTTTAAACAATTGGATTAGGTGAATAAATATTTTTTTTTATTTATTATATCCGAAATGATACATAAAGTAATACAAACAAAATGAATATGTTACACCAATGGAACAGTAAAGTGAAGTTATTGCCAATGGTAAGAATGGTAATTTTTCACCAAATAAAAGTTGGTGTAAAATTGATTCATATATTATTAATAGCGGAAGATTTGCAATGTAAATCCATTCGTAAATAAGAAGAATATTTTTTTTAAATCGTTGAATTAACAATGCAATGGTACAAACGGCATAAAATGTGAATAATAATATTTTTAAAAGAAGTAAATCCTTTGGATAAAGAAGAGGAAAAAGAGCCGTTATTCCTGTTAAACAAAGAATTATAAACACTCTAGCATCATTTTTATTAATTACTGAGAGTACACTGAAAAAAAAGCAAACAGAAACTGATTAGAAAATTATTCAAGCGGGACGCATGAATATTTTCCATATTAAACTCATAAGAATTTTTGTCATTTTGAATTGAAAATTATTGAATTTCTATTTAAGAGAATTTTATAAAGTAGATTTTTATAATTGGATTTTAAAAGGACCTTAATTTGTTTAGAATAACAGCGTTTTTGATTTTGTGGACCAAAGGCCACAAAATCAAAAACGCTGTAGATTTTTATATTCAACTGAATTTTCATACAAAAGAATTGTTATTTTTCTTAATTTTTATGTAACAGAATTTTTATTTATAGTCGAATTCGATTAAGTGGAAAATTATTCATGCGTCCTATTCAAATAAGGTAAGAAAAAACACATTTTAAAAAGAAAAATTAATTACCTGAGTGCAATAATCGACGTAAGAATAGCTTTCTCATGAACATGATAACTAAACATAAATGAAGATAGTCCACAAATTACAAGACATCTTATAAAAGAAATTCCACCAGTCAATTCATCTTTAAATGCAAGTTTTAAAAGCGATGGCTGCAAAGAAGAAACTTTTTATAAATATTACTATTGTATTTAATAATAATAATAATATTTAAATATTCATACAGAAATAAATTGTAACCTAATCGTAAAAATTTACAAAAATAAATCACTTTAAAATTATTTTATTACTTAATAAAATAAAAGTAAATTTATTTTTTAAAAATAAATCATAAGCATTTGAATTAGTTTTAAAATTAGTTTGACAAAAAAAAATAAAGAAAGTAAATGGTGATCATGAATTTCTCATAAAAATTTTCATTTTGATTAAAAATTTGATTTTGAATTAAAAATTTTTATTTCAAAGAATTTTATTAGATACTATAATTAATTTTCAGACAATTTTTTTATTTTTTGAATTAACATTTGACGAAATTTCTTCTTAAACGAATTTTTACTTAACAAAATTTTATCAAATTTCCATTTGTCAGAATTTTTCTTTAACCAATTTTCTCTTTTTTTTTTAACTTTTTATTTAAAAAATTTTATGTTAAAAATTCTTATTTAACTAAATATTAATTTAGCAAAATTTTAATGTAAATGAATATTAATTTTGTAGAATTCTCATTCAATAGAATTTTAAGTGATTCGAATTTTCAAAAGCCAAAATTTCCTTTTCATCAAATTTTTGTCCGAATTTTTATTTGCACGAATTATCACATTTAATAGAATTCTTACATAACGCTGAATTTCCATTATTGTCCGAAATTGCAAATAGTCGACAGAAAGATTTTGCCGTGAATTTTTGAAAATAATCAATCAATTAATTTTAAAATTCGCGCATTGGCTATTTGCAGTTTCGAACAAATGGAAATTCGTCACCTTTGGCATTTAAAGAATTCCATCAAATAAAAAATCTTGGGATTAAAAATTTGGACAAATGAAGATTAAGTAAATTGAAAATTCTGTCATTAAAAAATTTCAATCACTTAATTAAAATTCTGTTGAAATTTTTCTGAATTCAGTGAAATTCGAATTTTTTAAAATAAAAATTTGTATAAAGAGAAAATTTGTAAAATAAAAATTTTGTTAAATAAACATTTGGTACCTAAAAATTGTATTAAGAAACAAAATTTCGTTAAGGAAGAAATTCTGTTAAATGCTAATTTGAAAAATGAAAATTAGTGTAAAAAAATAATTATAATTATTAAAAATTTTTTAAATAAAACTTGTAACTAACAATTTTTTCAGGAAATTCATACGCCAGAATAAAATGATATCTGATTATTTTCAAGCTGAAATTTCATTTTATAACTGATGATAGGTAAAATTTTAATGTGTTTAGATAGACTTGACAATTTTATAGTTAAGTAATTGAAAATTTACCATCATAAATAGAATTGTAATTGAAAATGTTGCAATTGGAGATGGAGTAGGAAGTAGAAGAAATGACTGTTCTTGAACAAGTCCGCCTGTTAATCTTGCTGAATTTTCCTCTACATGCCAACCAAGATTTTTCCATAATACCACTAATAGTTTATCAAATCCTGCATATAAAGCCCAAAAATTGGCAGCCCAATAAGCGTGAAGCAGTCCTCGTTTAAATGGAAATAGACGTGAGAAAACCTAGAAAAAATGAGATTTTTAAGTATATTTTCTTTTCTTACAAATATTTGTCGTGGAATTTTGCAATAGATTATTTAATTTTTAAATTCCCGCCGAAATATTTCTGTCGATTCTTTGGTCACCCATTTGCAATTTCATATACAAATGGAAATTCAGCATTTTAACAAATCTATCAAATAACAATTCGTATAAATAAAAATTTGGACAAATGAAAATTTTGTAAATTTGAAATTCTGTCATTGAAAAATTTGAAACGTTAAAAATTCTCTTAAATGAGAATTCTGCTTAATTGATATTCAATTAAATTAGATATTTTAATTTTACATAATTTTAATTCAATCGAATTTTATATTATTGGAATTTTTAACTGTCAGAAATTCCAATTAACTGAATTTTAATTTATCCAAGTTTTTAATTAATAGAATTTTTAAGACGACGAATTTTCATTTACCCGAAATTACAAATGGCCGAACAAACAGTCGACAAAAATATTTTGGCGTAATTTTGAAAATTGACCAATCACGATTTTCTTGATAATTTCTAATGGGTCAATTTTAAAAATAGCGCCGAAATCTTTATGTCGATTGTTTATTCGGCCATTTGTAATCTCGGGTAAATGAAAATTAACTGTGACTTAATAATTCTATCAATTAAAAATTCATATAAATAAATAATTTGGATAAATTAAAATTCGGTGAATTGAAATTTTTTGTCATTTAAAAATTCGAATCACATAAAATTCGATTGAATGATGATTAAATATTAAATTGAAAATTTGCTCAAATTAAAAATTCTCTTAATGAAATAAAATTATAAATTACCTGAGGAAGTTGAGATTTAAAAGGCCAGAAGGAAATCAATAATGTCGTCAAAACGATAATGGCAAGCTGAAGAAATCTTCTAATAAAATATTGACGCTTTAAGCACCATTTTAAAAGCCATACAACGTAAGCAGGCGCTACGTATACATAAATATGTTTTAAATTAAGTAAAATTGAAAACCAAGCTGCACCTTCTAAAATATTTTTCTGAAATCACATATAAATTTTATTAGAAAACATGGAAAATTAATGTAAATTTAGCAAAGAAAAGTTGTCATTTTTTATTGAATAGATTCTGTATTTAGATCTATTGTGTATTGTGTGACAAATTTATTACTTATTCATAATTTCACAATTTTTAAATATTAATTGTTAACACAAAGTAACTGTGAATGATTCAAAAATTAAGTTTATAGAAAATTGTAAAGTACTTTTATCATTAAATGAAATAAATAAATCAATTAAAATTCCGATAATATGAAGCTTAAATCAATTAAAATGTTAATAAATTAAAATTCGGAAAATTTTGAAATTAATTAATTTTAAAATTAAGTCAATGAAAATTTGGATAAATAAAAATTCAGAAAATTTTTAAACTTAATTCAATTAAAATTTGAATTAGTTTAAACTTAAGTCAATGAAAATTTAGACAAATGGAAATTCGGATAATTTTAAAGTTAAATCAATTAATCTTGACATCGATTGGAATTTCGTTAATTTTAAATTTCGATCTATTTAATTTACATTTGATTAAAATTCAATTTAATAAATTTGTTTTGACCAATAAAAATTAAAATTGTGGCGCATGATTATCCAATAAAAATCATTTATCTGAATTTTTATTTTTACGAATTTTTAACTGATAAAATTTTTAAGACGCCGAATTTTTATTTGTCCGAAATTACAAATTACCGAACAAACAAATGAAAATTTGGCGTCTTAAAAATTCTATCATTTAAAAAATCGTACAAATAAAAATTCGGATAAATTAGAATAAGGTGAATTGAAATTTCTGTCATTTAAAAATTTGAATCACATTAAAATTGATTTAATGAGAATTCTGTTAAACTAAAATTTGATTAAAGTAAAATTCTTTTTATTAAAAAAGTCATGTAAATTAAATGACTATAAAATAAAAATTCTACCAGACAAAAATTTGGTAGCTAAAAATTTTATTAAGTAAAAATTCGTTTTAAAAAAAATTCTGTCACATTTTAATTTGAAAATTGAAAATTTGTTTAAAAAAATAATTATTTCTAATAGAAAACTTTAAAATAAAAATTTTAATAAATTATTTTTCAATGGGAAATTCATGCGCCCCTTAGAATTAACTGAAAGTTAGAGCAATATTTAAAATTTACATTAAAATTTAAAATAAATTCTGCTTTTTAAAATTTAATCTAAATAAACACTTCTTTTCATGAGAATTTTGTTCAATTAAAATTTGTTAGAATAAAAATTTTCCATCAAGAAAATCTGCTATGTAAATATTCGGCTAAATAAAAATATTTTTGTTTAAAAATTTAAGCAAAATGATTTAAATTAAATTTAATAAGTTTAAATTTCATTTAAATTTTAATTTAATTTTTTTTAACCAATCATCACATCACAGAAATCACAGAACATCCTTTGAAGGTTCAAAAATATTAATTTATATTTTTTTTCCTTGAGCAAAATAACATTAATTTCTTTTATGATATGAGCCAAAAGTTCTGAACGTTCAAATGAACGAAATATTTTTTTCAATCTAAAAAATTATTAAAAATTATAATATCAATATAAAATAAAACAGTAAATTAAACAAATATTAAATTAATATAACTTCTTTTTAGATATTTAAAACAATATTTTGTAATAAAATTCGTACTTAAAGAAGTTGTAAAAAAAAAATTTTGTTCATTTGAACGTTTAAAACTTTTGGCTCATTTTATGATAAATGATTCTAGGGACCGAGGGACTAAAATAAAGAAAAAATGTAAAAGATGAATTATATTTTACTACAATTGTTTATTTACTTATCTAAAATAATTAAAGAGGCTCTAGGACCCTTACAATATATTTAATATTATAATTTAAAACCATGATAACGGACTAAATAGTCGATTTGATAAAATAACAATAAAAAATAAATATTTTGATTTATATTATATTAACTGCATATAAATTTAATCAAACAATTAATTATATTCCATTATACAAATCAGTACAAATTGATTTGCGTAAATAAAAAATATAAAAACTACTAATCGAGTATAGTGTCCTTTACCTTACTTAAGTATAATTCTACGCAAACGTTTTATAATATTTTGGAAGTCTCATAAAGTCAGTCATTAAAATGGATTCATATCTTTCTCTCTCTCTATAGATTCTATTGATAATAATAATTCAATATGAACTGTAATTATTTCAGCAAAGAGGAATATATAAAACAAAAGTGTAATTTCGATTTCGAAGACGTTTTACAAACTGAAAAACATATTCCGAATAATGATGGACATATTTAAAACTGAATTAAAAAATGAATCTGTAGAGAAAGAGTAAATTATCAATAAAATTAAAATTAATTCTATTTAATGCTAAACTATTGATAAAGAAATAATAATTTAATCCTGTCCGTTCGCATAAAGCGCTAACTTATTCTAAATTCTTTATAATTTTCTTACAAGATAGATATGACAAAATAAATCAACTGAAGCACTTTATAGCAATTATTTAACTAGAGAGTAATTGAGATTCCTAGGAGTACAATCTATTTGAAGTAACCAAATATTTTATTTGATATAGAGAAACAGCATTAATTCATCAATATCCATTTTCCAAGTGAGGAATTTTCTGTAACAAAATATTCATTGAATATAAAAAAGGTAAAAATGAGAAATACTTGCCAGTTGTAATATATTTATATCATTTATGATTTTCAAAAAATTGTGATTTTTTCAATATTGTAGTATAAAAAATTTAAAAAATAAAATAAATAGTTCATTTTCCCTATTTTTGAACGTCAGTAATTTTCTTGGAGAAAAATAAAAAAAAAATATGGAGCTTCAAAAATTATATAAATGGACACTAAAAATTTCGCGTTGGTCCTGTAGCTATTTTCAAAGATAAAGCGGATTAAAAATTTCGTATTTTTTAAACCTATACTGATAAAGGATTCAAATTAATGTATAATTGGTATTTGTAAGGAACACAAAAATCACAGTTTATTGAAAATTTTTTTTAATCTCAGGAACACTTACCTTAATTAAACTCCAGAAATTCTCGATAGTCCAAACTTGATCCCAAAGTTAGTTTGTCCACGTCTGCCAATTGGGGTTATTATAATTCCAATAGGCAAGGAACTCACTGTAATAATAAATATAAATTAAAAATACAGAAATATATATTTACTTGTACTTTAATTTTGTGTAGAAATTTTTCTCACCTTTTTTTGTACCCCAGAAATTCTTGATAATCCAAGCTTAATTCCAGATTAATGCCAGTAATTATGAGCTTGATTTTCACTGCAGTTGGCCAGTTGTTATTAATGATTGGAGTAATTTTATAGCCATTGTCAGCACAGGAAGCCAAAAGCAATCAATGAGTGACCATTAACAATTAATTGAAGAAATTGTTTGGCATATTTGACTACTTGGTAATCCATGGACTTCTATTTGTATTTATAATTTTGATATTTATAAAATACAGTTAGTATTTTAATCTGGAGTGATTGTCAAGTGAAAATATTCCAAATTACAATCATTCGATACAAAGATAACATTATAATTTCATACATTAGATGTACAAAAAAAATCTCAATTACAAATATTGAAGAAACAGTCGAAAATTCCAAAGATTCACACAACAGTAAAAGTGAATTTTTCTAAATTATTTATAATAACAATTATTATTTGTTGAAGTATCATCCAGTTGGTAACATTTATTTCAAATTTGAGAGCGCTCTTTTCTAGTTTTCGGAAATTAAATCTAATTACTTATGTTAATTCAGATCACACAGATGCAGGTAAGTAAAAAATTGTTCGATTTTAATGATTACAATATATATAATAAATATAATAATTATATTGATAGTTTAGAAAAAGAAATCCGGAATTACAAATATTTATTACGTCGACAATTTGTAAATTACACAAAATAATTATAAGAATAATTTCTATTATATTTAATTACCCCAAGAATCAGAGACTTCCAAAATTACCTACGTAGATTAATAAAAAATTTTTTGCAACATTAACTTCTACAATTGTATTTTACTTCATTTACAATAGTAAAGTAAATTACTTTACACACTCGTATAAGAAAGCAAAGTGATATTAAATTATTCATTCTTTCTGTAAAATTCACTTAAATATTCAAATACATAATTCTAATTCAATTTTTTTTTAATGATTTAACTGTAAAGGTGTTGCAAAAAATTATTTATAAGACACACGTAATTAAATTTGTAAAGTAAGGAATACAATAACAGAGATTTATGTTACTAAATTGTTAATAAACTTCGTTGTTAGCACGTGGTAGTGAAATATATCTAGAAAAATAAAATCATGAGTCTAATTTGAAAAATTAAAGGGAAGTAAATTTTATTAAAATACATTATATCTTTTTTTTTGTTAATAGTAAAATCGTTAATTTTTATATGTAACATTTCTGAAAAACAACGTTTTTTATAGTTTGGTTCTCGGTCCAATATAACAATATAATCCCAATTAAACTCATGATTTAATTCTAATACGTGCTTCTAATGAACGATCGGTAAACTAAACTTTAGGAATTTGTTAATTTAAAAGAGTTCGTGAATTTATAATATTATTATTCATATTTTTTTACGGAATTAAATTAACTGAATTTTGGTATGTTTTTTAATAAATTTATGTGGGTAATCGTTATTTTTTAGAATATTTTTAATTTTTGTTAGATTGTCATTGTAAAATGAATGATGTGACAATAACATAGCTCGGTCGACAAGATTATATTACAATGTTAATTTTTATTGCAATGGATGATTCGATGATTAAATTTTGATTAACTCTGAGAATGATTTGCATTTTTTTAAAAAAATAATTAAATTAAATTAAATAATAAAATAATTCAAGCGTTTGCGCTACGACTAAAATTTTTTTTTTAAATTTACATGAATACATTATTCAATTGTTGTTATTCTTTATATTACTTGTTATATTACAAATTGTCTAATACATATTTTATTAAAATACTTTGCATACCTTTCTTCACTAAAATGATAAAAAATTTTGTTACAAAATCACAATTTTAATTTTTACAACTACCCTGATTTCTCCTACAGTTTATCATTTGGAAGATTTTATTTCTTATTTAACTAATATAAATAACGCTTAATTATTTTAATGCAAATCATAAATTTTATGAATATTTCAAAATACTCATTAATTACTTTATTTTTTTTATATACAATACCAACAAATTTAAATCTCTTATCTGATACTTCTGTTTATAAAATAAATTCTGATCCCACAATCAAAATTAAAAATACTTTAATTACTTTACTATAAAATATTTTATAGAATATTAGTCTAATATAGTTTATTTAAAGAAATTTCATTAACTTTAATGTTGAAGTGACATGAAACAAATGATCTGTAATAATTAATCTTATTAGGTAATTTTTGTATTGTCAAATTGATTTGAAATTAAAAATTTTTTTAAAGCAAAATTGACTTTATTTAATTTCTGAATTTTTATCACTATTTTTTGATAAAATTACCAAAACATTAGGTAATTAATTATCTCTAGCTCAGAATTTCACCCTTAAAAATTTAGGAGGCAAAAAGCAGTAACAATTAATTTCTTCTTTCTTAAAATCATTTTTTTTTAAATTTTAGAATAAAAAGGATTTATATAGAGACCGATATTTAAGATTGATGTTTGACTATGAAACTGGGACACAAGAGCTATTGTGGGTCTTAAATGAAAACGTATAATTTAGTGAGAGAATCAGTTAATTCAGGAAAACAAATAAGTTTTCATTTAGGACTTATCAATAGGCCTCGAAAGTTAGAAATTTTTTTGTTTCGGTACTCTACAAAAGCCAAATTTCAGTGAATATTAATTAGAAAAAGATGTTTTCCAGTTCTTCTGAAACAAAAATTTATAGATTAAAATTCAAAAATATAATTATTATCATTGCATTCACAGTTTATAACAGAATCGCTATTTCAACCTTTTAAACTTGAAAATAATAAATGAAGAGCTCCACGGAATAACGATCTATGGCACAATTGAAAAGCTTGGTTATGAGCTTTCAAAAAATATAAAAATTTTATAAATTAATAGCTGTAAGCGAATTATTGTGACTAATAGAATTAATAATAGTTACCAAAAGTGTAATAAATAACAATTTACATATACATACTTATTACAAATTTCATGAAAATTTACGTTTTTTGAAAGCTCATAACCAAACTTTTCAATTGTGCCATAGATCGTTATTCCGTGGAGCTCTTCAAATATTAAGCATGAAAACTTTAAATTATAAGTGTCATTCATTTAAAATAAAGTGCATCTCTAGCATCAACGATCGAATCCTTATAAACATTTATTAAACTCAATTACGCCAGGTTATTTTTTGACAAAACCACTAAAACATTAATATTTCATTAGATAAAGCTAGCCCAGAATTTAACCCATGAAGTTAAAAATAAAAACCCTTATTGTTACAGCTAAGGGTTTTATTTTCTATCAATTAGGAATTCATTCAATTTAATTCAATTTAAAAGTTTGTAACGATGCAAATCGTTACTTATATTGGTACTTGTAAGTCAGCGTTTTATCCCTCTTGATCAGTCAGCTGTTCGTTCGTGTGTCAGCGTGCTATGAACAGGTGTTCATGGAAAGTCTCAGGATTAGGATTTACGCACATGTGTGTTATGTAAAGGTCTCATTGTCAGCGTTGGTTCCCGTTTCCGGAAACAGGTTGCCGTCAAATTCGTCAGCGAGATGGATGGAGCGACGGGGGTTCCTATTTGGTGGTGATTTTTAGCAGTATTCGCGGTCAATAGTCCAGTCGATTTCGTACTACTGTCACGTCAAGTTCCAGTCGTCAGTCTTGTCGCATTTTATATATTTTTATATTATTCTACCCAAGTATTAGATGGTCTAATTATTAGTGATTTTTATTAATAAATATTTAGTGGATATTAATCAACACGTTATTTATTGACGAGTACCTTTTAATACAGATTGGAATTATCAGCGTTGTCGGCGTCTAACAATCGATTCAGTTCAGCGTCGGTAAGTCATTCGCCTCTTAAAATCTTGGGATCATCTCTGCACCGATGGTCCAGTTGGTTGCAATCTTCCTTTGTGTTTTGGTGAAATTAGTTAAGTTTCAGCGTTCTAATGATGTGGACGGCGCACGTCGGTATTTATTGACGCGCGAAAGTCCACCATTATAAGTTTTAGTACCATACCAAGAATATCGATACAAATATCAGATACTATCTTATTTTGACTATACAAAATATGTACAATATGTTGTTATTGAGAGAATCATAAACATCTATTAAGAAAGAAAAATTGTATAATTTATAAATAAATAAAGCAATAAAAGATGTTTGTTTTTGTTTGGCCTAATGACTGTTTAATAATAATTTCAAGTCTGTATAAAATGACGCGTTTCAATGCATTTTCGTATGTGAATAATGTATAAATGATAACTTTAAAAATTTTTAAATTAAATAACATTGTTGTAAAAAAAATTTTAATTATTTATATGGTTATATATATATATATATATATATATGACCAAACACATGATTATTACCACATGTTGAAATGCTTGGTTAAGAATTATGTCATGGATAAAAGTGTTACATCCTAAGATGCACCAAGTAGAGGATTTAAATTTATTGTTTTAAGTCAGGAACGCATTGTCCTCGAACTTGGGAATTGTTTTGAATTTGAGTCCTGTTTTAGAAAAGAAATAAGAAAATTAGAATTATAAGGATTAAATTTTGTCGATACAACTAAAATTGTACAAAATTTGGAAAAGGTCCTATCCAAAATGTGATGTTGACAGTATTTGTCCATCTTTAATTGTACCAATACTTTCAGGGAAAAGAAATAGAATAGAAAGAAATGAGAGTTAAATAAATTTTATTTTTATTTCATTTACTTTTTTATATTGTTGTTTTACAGCGTAATATTAAATATTAGCTTTTCCTTTCCTTGAATATATTCTTAAAATTGAGATTTTGTGACGATAGTACTGAATATTTTTGTGGAGGAATATTTTTTATACTTGTATTTTTAAAAATGAAATTTTTGTGTACTTGATTATTTTTGGAATAAAACGTTGAACTGAAGAATTTTAACTGAAGAGTTTGAATTGAAGAATATTTTTTAACTGAAGAGTTTGAACTGAAGAATTTTTTTTTAACTCAAGAGTTTGAACTGAAGAATTTTTTTTAACTGACTTCTAATGGGACTTTCCTTGGGTTTTAAAGGGAAAGATTCCCACTTCACTTCTTAGATAAAGATAATGTTATCAGGCCCATTTTTGAGGACTCGAATTTATAAAAAAGAATATATTAAAGAAAAGAAAAGATTTTAATTTTAACAATTTCTGTAACAATTTTTTAATTATAATTTCATTTAATTAAAATATTGTAGGATATAACAAAAGCAATGTAGAAGAAGAAGACAAAGTGACAAGGTTGATATATCAAAGTTAAATACTCATATTCCAAAACAAAGATTAAGATCTACAACGTTTATAGGTATAACAAATTAATTAAATTAAACTAATTAAATTGCTATTATCCATGACATAATTTATAACGCAGCATTTCAACACGTGGTAATAATCATGTGTTTGGTTATATATATTATACCATATTAATAATTAAAAATTTTTTTAAACAACTTAATTTCAACACAGGTTTTAAGCTGGATCAAACTTTTGATCCCAACTTTCGCTAATTATAGCGCGTTTTTCCGGGAGCCTGGAAACCTAGGACAATTCTCATCAGCAGGTCTTCTTTGCGGATTAATCCGTTTCAGAAGCACGGGAATTACATCAGAAACGCTGGTGCTAACATTATGCATAATGTTAACAATGTGTTTAATTCGACATGTGTATTCACTGACGAATACGATCATAGAAGCTACGAATATGAAGTACCACTTTCATACGATTTTATTGCACGATATAGTTGCATTTACCTTCGATTTGATTACCGCGGTCTTGCCTCCTTCCACTTTAACAAAAATGAAGCCACCGGACGAAACGGACCATACTGGATTCAAAAACAAAGTCCTCTTGTCATATTATTCTTTTTTATGACATAACATAATTATACATTTGTGAATGATCAAAGATACGCGTGTTAGACAACAAAATAAACACAAAAGGAGAAGTGGACAAACTGGTAATGTCAGGGCTCAAAAAATGTACGCCGGATGAAAAATAATATACTCAAGTCACTTTTGTTCGTAATATTTTGACAACTTTCTTGCTAAATTTTTACAATATAAATTTGTGGTGGTATTGATTATTATGAAACTTATTTAGTATATTAAATAATATAAAAAAAATAATTCCATCGTTAGGTAAGTAAGTGAAATGATTTTAAGCCTATTTGAACAGACATGTATAAATCCTATAATTTTGTGTAAAAATGATTGAAAATTACCTTTTTTAAAATGTCGTAAGTTCCTGCTATAGAAATTAGTAGTATGCCAAGAAGAAATCCATTATATTGAAAATGAATGTGATCAATAATCCAAAGTCCAATATTAGTAAGAGATAAAATAATAAAAATTATGAAGTTCTGAGTCGAATTTATACATGTATCCCCGACTCTACAAAAGTATAATTTACAAATAAAAGAATATTTCACTATAGTTATTTTTATCTACAGCTGTTTTAGAGTAACAATATTAAATTTTTAACTTTCAGAACTGTCAGCATGAGAATAATTACAATAAGGACTAAGTATACACAAGATTAAAAAGATTATTGATACTATTTAAAAAAAATTAAATATTACCTCTAATCATTTATCATTTAAGGGGGTTACACCAGTTATAACGCTAAAAAAGTTCCTTTTCAAGAATGTTTTCTTAATAAACCATGAATTTTTTTAAAAAATATTATTTACTATCTATAAATACATGTCTAGAACTTTAATTAACAACAAATTTTTCTATCAAAAGCTTTATGTTTAATGAGCAAACGAAGTGACGTCTTCGGAAAAACATGAAGTCCGGTGACTAAAATTTTGCAAGTATATTTTATACAAAATGCAAAAAATGAAATTAATTAACATTTCTTATAAGATTGTCTAATTCCAAATCAAAGGATTAAAATAATATACATTTCAAAATATTCTATTTGATTTAACGTGGTAGGTTAGTAATATTTTTATAACAATTCAAAAATCAACGGGAAAATAATTGAAAATACTTTACTTAAACAACTTATTGTTCCATTAACGATGGATTGTTCTGGTTGTGCTTGGAGTCACACCTAGTTTGTACTCATGTGCAAATTCGAACCAAAAAAGTTATTTGAGTTTTTAAAAAATCACAACGTGATAAAAAAGAGGTGATATGTTCTGAATGCAAAAAACCATCTGTTATAAATGAAGAGAAAATGATTTAGCGATACCAAAAATTTAATAAGTTTTAAGAAGGAAAAAAACTCACTCAGAAATGTTTCAGACTTCCACGGATTGAAATTTTAAAAAATGAATTTGCTTTCAGTAAATACACGGTTGACTGGGGAAATTTCATAAGAGAGATAATTTTTATTTGGTGAAATAATCATACAGAAAAAAATGGACGGTCTTAATAAAGTAGTTGCAATAGATGAAGCTAAATTTAGAAAAAAGAAATACCATCGCCGTAGAATCATCGATGGATAATGGAGACACTAAAGACTACATTCCATGTTACTGACGAACATGGATAGATACAGTACTGAGTTTCTGTATAAAAAAAATTTCCAAATCAAAAGGAACGATACCATCCATTTATTTATTTTTCACCGAACCAACATAAAAATTTAGACACACTTCTGAAAACAAAATTTAAGAAAATGAAAAAAATAATCGATTTTTCGAAAGTTACAACTGGTGTATCACCCTTCAACAACAATAAGACTAGAGTAAATTCTACAACTAATGAGCTTAATAATTTTTTTAAAAGCTGATTTTAAATCTTAGTGGTGTGTCATTATAAAACGTCAATCATTTTCTCAAAAGTTAAGTAAGTCTAATTTTTTAAAATATACAATTTTTTTAAATTAAAATAATGGAAAATTCACAAAATTAATAGTTAAATGATAATAATTATTACTTAAAAAGAAATTTAAACAAAACTTTGTTTTAAAAATAGTTTTTCTAGAATTAGTCGAACACTTACTTTTTTACACCGTAGAGAAAAACGATGTCTGTTATTATTACAGTTGAACGTTGAAATACTTTAGTATTAAATGAAGCATAATTAAGATTTTCAAGTTTTAACATTTCAACATCAAAGAATACTGCAAATAATGAGAGAAAGTATTCAAACCAGGCAAAAAATGGTGGATAGTCTAAAGTCCATTGTGATATTTCAGTTTTATACCACTCATTTACTGGCAAACTGTGTGTTATTGCAAGCCAATTACGATGGACTTCGAAGTCAGTTGAATGACTAAAATTAAAGAGAAAAACTAGCTATATAATATAATATTACAATTGAAACCTTTTTTTAAGATAATCCCAGGACAGCCATCCTCCTTAGCAAACGAGCCTTCTCTGCCGCCTAACAAGTTATTAACAGTTATCACTACTTACCTAAGGAAAGCTCATTTAAGTTTATTAAATTAATTATTTACTATTTATTTAACTCTTTGATAAAGGCAAAAAGTACAACGAAATAGGATGGAGACGATTTATGTTTATTTTAGTTTTTAATTTCTTTTATTTTCTGTTTATAGTTCATAACAACCGTTTTTGTCGAAAGGAAACTTTTAAATAAACCAAAATTTTTTTTAAAAAACACTTTAAGTACACTGTTTAACAATCAGTTGTCACATTGTTATATAACTTGTTACACCTAGCTATTTTTTCAACGTATTTTTTTCCTTCATTTAATTTTTTAGAATTATTATCGATTCAAAAGGAAGGAAATGTGTTTTAAAAGAAGTAAAATTTGTATATGTTTTTTCTCTTTCCTTTTAAAAAGATAACGTAATGTGAAACTCTTAGAGGCCAACATTTGCAGGATGCACTTTTACATTTTCCTAAAATCATAGAAACCAAAACATTTGCAAGTAATAAAGTATAGAAAATATAACCGTGAAATTACCAAAAAAATCTATAAGTGCATCCTCCAGATGTTGACCGCTAAGATCTTTTCCTTTCATTTTCATTTTTTCTCGACAGGTTCGAGAGTTCCTGTCGCCAAGATTTCCTTCTGTTTGTAATAAAATTTAACTTGGTTCCGAAAATATATATTGTGACGAAGTAGTCGTCAAGCATCCCCCGTTGAAAATGACGCGCTCGATTGTCGGGCCCAGGAGGTGGCACCGCCGATCGGAAGAAGGTGTGACTAGCCGCCGGGACTCCGAAATCACATGTTCGCTTCGATACAGACAGTAGTCAGAGACAGTAGTTAGAGTACGAATACAAGTGTGTTGAGATTTGTAGAGTAGTTTTGTAAAAAGTAAGATTTGTGGTCGAGAGTTCGACAGTTTGATTTTGTTATAAGGATTTGGATTTTTTGTCAAGCAATTGGTCGAGTGACCAATAGTGGTTTACCGTTGTAAATTGGTAGAGAATAAAGAAAAAGTGGACGAGAATATTGACCAATTTATTAATTTTGTAACGTCCGGTGACGTTATCATTTTGAAAATATTAAATTATATTATTTTATTATATATATATTTTTTTTTCTCCTTTTAAAAGATTATAAGAAAAATTTATGAAGATATATTAGACTTTCTTAAATCTTAAGAATTAAAATCAATATTTATATCTTTAGCTCAAAAATCAACAAACTCCAAGTTTAAAGAAATAAAATCATGAAATTCAAAAGTAAGAAAGTCCAATATATATACAATGATTGTTTCGAAAAATCACCTGGAGAGATCATATCTCGTGGTGATTATGGGACTCTGAAACCCATTAAGCGGCCCCTTTTATGATCTCTATTGTGCTGATTCCTTTTAAATTTAGAATATAAATTCCTTTATATATTATATATAGTTTTCTTCTCGGTGTAGATAGAAAAATAATATTAATATTTACAATTTAAAAATTAACAATAATAATTTTTGTAAATAAAATATTAATATTTTCAACCTTACATTAATAAAATATTAATAAATAATGTAAAGTTATTTGAAAATTATTAAATTTTTGTATCTTTCAAAGTTAATATTCAATTATTTTTCTTTTTATAAAAATAATTGTATATTATAAAATATATTGTTTTATAATAATTTTTCCGTATTATTTATAATTAAAATAACTTTACAAATAGGAAATAGTTTATATATAATAAATTGTAAATGTATAACTTTTTTAAAAATTAATAATTCAAATTTTTAAAAATTAATTAATTAAATATATCGAATATCGATAATCGATAATCGATTGTTGATCGATATATTTCCTATACATAAAAAATTTAAATAACTTTTAGTTAAAATAAATATTAATTATAAAAAATAATATATAGGGAATTTTATACATTATTATTAATAAATTATTATAAAAATAATCTAAAATTAATAAATAAATAATAGAAATAACTTTTATTAATAAATAATGTGTAAAGTTCAATATATAATTAAAAATCAGATTTTTTTAATAAAATTTGTAATTAAATTTATAGGGAAATTAATTGTATTACTTAATATTAACATAAACAATTATTGTTAATTAATTAATAGTATAAAAATATGAAAATTGTAGAAAATAAGAAAATTGTCCAAGAAAAATTATAATTTCGCCATCTTTACGGAAATGTCGAGTTAAGCCCCCTCTTCAAGGGCAAGTTATCTCACTCAAGACACGCCCTTGAAACTTCCCTATTTTCGAGGGCTGGGACTTAAAGACCCAATCCTGACCTAAGACAATAATGCTTTTTCTTCATTTTCTTTTAGTAAAACCAATCATTAGATTTTTCCAACCTCTTTTTCCACCACTTGAAAATTTTTATTTCCAACCCTGAATTTTGGGGAAGGGACAATTCTTTAAAAACAAGAATTCTTTATAGAAAAATTCAGTTCAATCAGTTCAAGCAATTCAACTAGTTCTTTCAAATCTTATTTCTTTTCTTAAAAACAATTCTTAAAAGTTCGTGAAAGTTTTCTGAGTTTTATTTTCTTTTATATCAAATTTTAAGTGTTCTAAAATTAAAAACTTTTAAATTCTTTAAAAATTTAAATTCAAATATTCAAGTGTTGCCGCCATATTTTTTTCTGGAAAAGTTGCAGTTTTTCTTGGACAAATTTTCAAAACATATTTCAAATAAAAGTAAGTAGAAAAGAATAAAATTATGATTTATAAATTCTTGTCACTTCTTAACCTTTCTATCAATTCCGACAAATTCTGGGGCAAAATGTACCTCGTTATTTTGTCAAACCATTTTTAACAATTTTTTAAATTTACCTTTCCGAGAAAATTAAGGTGCAAAAATTTGTGCATCAAAATTTTTCTCACGTCCTTTTAAATTCAATTCCTTATTTTTCAACAAAAATTATTACTGAAAATTCCCGAGTTAGTAGACGAGAGTCTAGACTCAAAAATTTAAATTATATAGGATTTTTTTAAATAAAATCTTATATAAAAAAGGAATTATTTGTGTTATATCTTCGGACGTAACAATTTGACCTGACGAAGATCCTTCATATTGATTGATTTGTGACGAGAGCTGTGGGTAAGTGGAAATTTGTTTGTTTTCTGTCGTGTCTCAGAAGGTCTTTTTCCTTTTTTTTGACTGGTCTTGGCGGAATCTCCTTTGAGATTATTTTTGGGGAATTGTGATGAGGTTTGTGTATCAAAAAATTAATAAAAGTTGACATTTGTGATTGGTTTGTCAATTCCAATAAAAATTGACTGTCGTCTAACGATTCACGTTTGGGTTTCTTTTTATAACAAATAAAACCTGACATGGGGAACGTGAAGAAAGATTGTTGTCCAATGGAAGTACTGGAACCGAGACGTTTCCCACGAGCCGATCATGAAGACCCAGATCTACGACGTCGACAGGGGGAGAGTTGGAAAGAATTTGGGAGTAGAATTGCGGTCAAGGAGCTTGAACGGTTCGTCAACTTCCAAGAACCGAAGACTTCCGTTTTCTTGGAAAAGCTCAAGGAAAAACAACGGGCGGAGATCAAGGCTAGGAAGTCAGTACTCCGGAAGGAAGATTTGGTTTACCCCAATGACGAGGAGGTAGTAGAGGAGTCACCACCCATTACCTCACCAGGCCCCCCGACTAGACGAAACAATAATAATACCCCCAAACTGACAAGGGATGAAGTTGAGACGAAATCTGACGGAGAGAGGCGGGGAGAAGCATTGCCCCGAAAAACGACGGGGGTAATGTTCAACACTTTGATAAAGTAATCAGTTTTTCTTGAATTTTTATCATTTTTTCACAATTATTTAAAATGTTATAATAAATAATAATATTATAAACTTTTGATATTAATGTTAGTTAAATTTTCAATTAAATAATTTTTACAAAAATTCAAATTTCGATATATCAAAATTCGATATATTGAACTATCGATTTTAAATATCGATATATCGAAATTAACCTTAAGGTACATACATAGTTACGCTTTTCATTTTTTTCTTTTTACCCTTAAGGGTTTTCACATAATGGACTTAGAAGCACATTTAGAAAGTTTATCAGGTAAGGATTTAGAAATATTTTTTTTGAAAGAAGATAATATTGATATATGGAAACTTGCTTCAACTAATAATGATGAAATTACTTTAATGAAAACAAAAATTGAAGAACTATAGAAAATTAATTTTCATAATTGTGACGTAATTGCCGTATTAAAAACTAAACTTGAAGATTTGATGAAAGAAAACGTGAAAACGAATTTAATTATCAGACGTTTAGTCGCTTATTCATCAATTCCTGGTAAAAAAACTACCATTGACGAATTAGATTTTTTATTTTCGCAACACAGAATCGAATTTTAATTTTTTCTTATTTTTTGCAACGAAGTTTTTATATTGTTATAAGAAAATTTTTTTTATATACGAAATTTTTTATTCTTATAGAGGATATATTTATTTCCATCGTGGATTCTTTTATTTAAACGATATTTTCATATTCCTATTAAAGATTATTGATTAAAAATAAGGTTTTTTATATTCCCTACATGGATTTTTTATATTCTTATTAAGGATTCTTTATTATCGAAACGAAATTTCTAAGTTCCCAAAGAGGAAACAAAAAATTTGCAACTATTCCTAGTAGTGCAATTATTAATAATAATTTGATAAAAGGACAAATTAAAAATGTACCTGTGGCTTCAGTAAAGCCCATTATTAGACAACAAATAGTAGAACAAAAAATTATTCCAACTAACGAAACAATTGATTTAACTGTAAAGGAAGTACATGTTTTACCTCCAGCAGTAGAAAACTTTATTATAAATCTAAATATTGAATTAATAGAAATTA